TTTTCCAACACCATTTATTAATTAGGCTACCTTTCCTCCAATGAGGGTGGTTGGCTCCTTTGTCAAAGATGAGATGGCTGAGTATGTCTGGAGTTGTTTCTACATCTTCTAATCTATTCCACTGAATCTTGGGTCTGTTTCTTTGCTGGTATCATGCTGTTTTTATCACAGTAGCTTTGTAGTATAATTTAAAATTGAGGATTGTGATACCCCCCAGGCATATCTCTGTTGCCTAGAATTGTTTTAGCTATTCTAGGTCTCTTCTGGTTCCAAATGAATTTTTGGATTATTTTCTCTAGTTCTGTGAAGTATATTGTTGGAATTTCAATTGGCATTCCATTAAATCTATATAGTAGTTTTGAAAGTATGCCCATTTTCACTATATTGGTTCTTCCTACTCAGGAACAAGGGATATCTTTCCATTTTCTTATATCCTCCTCGATCTCCTTTCTCAGAGAGATCGTTTTCAGTGTAGAGGTCTTTTGCTTCCTTTGTTAGATTGATTCCTAGATATTTCATTTTTTTGGATGCTATTGTAAAAGGAATTGTCTCCCCAATTTCTCTCCCAGTGAGTCTGTTATTTGTGTATAAGAAAGCTACTGTTTTTTGAGTGTTGACTTTGAATCCAGCTACTCTACTGAATCTGTCAATTAAGTCTAGAAGTCTTTTGGCAGAGTTCTTTGGGTCTTCTATGTAAAGTATCATATCGTCAGCAAATAATGACAGTTTAACGTCTTCCTTTCCTATCTTTATTCCTTTTATTTCTTTCTATTGTCTAATTGCTGTGGCTAATGTTTCCAGAACTGTATTGAACAGGAGTGGTGATAGTGGGCATCCTTGTCTTGTTCCTGATTTTTGAGTGAAAATTTTCAGTTTTTAACCATTTAGTATGATGTTGGCTGTTGGTTTTTCATAGATAGCCTTAATCAGGTTGAGATAAAGACCTTCTAGTCCAAATTTCTGTAGGGTTTTTATCATGAATCCATGCTGCAAATGTCTTTTCTGCATCTATTGAGATCATATGGTTTTTGTCCTTGACTCTGTTAATATAGTGTATTCAATTTTTTAATTTACAGATGTTGAACCATCCTTGCATCCCTGGGATAAATATGACCTGGTCAGGATGT